GGGGGGGGGGCATGCGACGCGGGGGTCCCACGTCCGGCTTTCACTTTTGGTTCTTTCGTCACTGGAATTTCAAAAACGTCTTTGCTCCTTGAGAACCCTGCATCGTCTCGCTTATGATTCTTCCCGCTTGGTCAACATGTCTCTTTTCACCTTGCGCCTCTCCACTCAGACTCTGCTGCTCATGATCATGCGTGAGGGTGATGATGTTGGCCTTTGGCGGAGCTAAGATGGCCTGGGCGTACCAGTGCGCCAACTCGGCAGTCAGAGCAGCGCGTTCTTGTCGCGTGTGCATGGCATACCACGTGCTCATCCAGAAACCTCTTGCTTTGAGATCTCGAAAGATCAAGAGGGATGCGGGTAGGGATAAAGGCGAGCGCGACATGGCTCCGTACGTGACGAGCGAAGCGGAAGGTCTGCATGGCGTTGGCAAAGCGCGCGCGCGCCCATAGGTCCCGGGAAAAGTATGGGCGCAAGACCGATCAAGGAGCAATTCGTCGGCCCGGCGGCCGGTCGCGAAGAGTTTCGAGCATTAGCAGTGAAAGAGAGAGAGAGAGAAAGGGGGGCCCGAGGGCCGGGCCTGGTATGCCCGAGCTGAGCCCCGCCCCAGCTGCACTCACGCGAGCAACTTGGACATGTTCGTCGTGTCCTTTCCGCACAAGGCATTCAGAGCCAGCTTGATAGGTCTACCATTGGCGATCCGCTTGACCGCATCCTTGGTCTCGCTCGACGTTTCCCTATTGGACAAGGCGTCGTACGTAAAGACGTGCGTTCCCGGTCCTCCTCTTCCCCACTCTTCAAAGTCGGAGCGCAAGCCTTGCAAGTCTGGTCTGCATGCAGAGCGCGAGCGGACCATTCGAGCACAGGTGGGCCAAACGCAAGACAGGCGGGGGACTGGTGAGATTTACGAGCTGAGCTTGGGAGCTTTGCCTCCCGGGCTGAGCAAGACGCACCTGTCTCGTACGAAATTGATCGTCTCTACGCCTAGCACACGAGCTGCTAGCTGCACCACCGCTTGTCCGACAGCAGCTGAGCAGCAACGTAGCGCGGGGTCAAAGGCAAGTGGTGGTGGTGTGAGCACACGAATGAGCATTCGCAGTCGCGCTTCTGGAGCAGGAGATGTGAAGCTGGAGCAGATGAACGTGTCGGAAAGGGGAACTTACAATTGGCCGCATTTTGCACAATCACGTCCCCTTTCTTTAGCTGCTCAAAGTCTCGCAGCATGCAAATCGCCGTTGCCGGATTGATCATCAAGGTAGAGCCTGTCGAAGCGGAGGTGGGGTCGGTCGAGAATGCATGAGGACGAGCAGCAAGTCTGGATCGTGAGGAGAGGTGCGCTTCGACAAAGCACAGGCTGCTCATCAATTCGTGCTCACCCATGACCTCTGTGAGGTTCTCTTTCGCTTCGCGTGGAATGGGAATGAGATCCGAGGCGGGTGCGATCATATGAGAAGTCCAAGTGCCCATCTAGAGTCCGAAAAGAATGGGTGTGGGGGGGGTCGAGGTCAGCCAATCAAGTGGGATCAGCCGCGCACCCATGCAGATAAGATGGGGATCAAAGCGAGCGTCGTGTCACATCCGCATCCACTCTTTGCCAAGCAAACAGAAAGCGCAAATTGCTGGCTGGACCGATCTGCAAACGCTCACTTGTGGTTTGCCAAAGATGACCCAATCTCCCTCTCTGAGACCTGCTTGTCGACCCTTCTCATCCAGCTCTTGCACCTCGCCCAGTCCCTCATTGCCTCCTACCCTGTGCGGGGTTTGCAAGCCCGGAATATCTCTTGGTGAGGGTACAGAGGGATAGACGCCTTGCAATCTTCCAACATTCAATTTGCCAGCGGATTGGTAGGGTGCAAGGGAAGCGATGAGAAGGAGGGAGGGGGTGAAGAAGCGTGCATGCATGCACGCATCTCAGCGAAAGTTGGGCCCCGCACAAGCTGTACCCAGCTCCGCCACCCCCCAAAACACACACAACGCACACATTTATATCCGCCGGGTTCACGCTGGCCAACCTCATCTTTACTCCCACCTGACCCTCTTTGAGCGCGTGCAATCGCCAGCTATGCGCCTTGACAACCTCTTGCGGCTCTCCATGCTTCTCATACACCAATCCCGTCACTTTTTGGCCCTGTGCATATCCCTCTTGGCGCGCTGCTGCAGAGGCCCAAAAGGCTCTTTTCGAAGAGCAGCAGCAAGAGAAGGATGGACAAGTGGAGGTGAGCTGAATGGAGGGAGAAGCGGCGCAAGAAAATGTCAAAGGACCAAAGGCGCAGGCGCTGCGTGCAAGTCTGTCGCTCGAGCGTGGGAACATCTCGGCGCATGCGCTTCTGAGCATGATGAGAAGGGCAGGATGAGGATGAGGCAGGAAGGACAAAGGTTCGCTCGAATTGAATGATTAGGCCTTTCAAAAAGTCAGGGTGCATGATAGAGTCACGAGTCAAGTGAGGTAGATGCTGCATTCGTGATTGCGACCAGCATCGACATGCTCCTCGGCAAACAAACGCACCCTGCGCAACTCCTACCTACGCACGCATATCCGGCAATTCACCATTCTGCATGTAGGGCCGCCTCCGCATAAAGGGGCCGCACGGGCCACACATAAGCCAAAAGAGAAGATCACGTGTCACACTGAAGCCAAAAAACTCGTGCACCGTAACTCGCGACAAGCTCATTCAATTCTTGATTCTTGATTTGATTCTCATCAGCATGCGTTGCTTGCACTTCCAACGCAAGTTCCTCGCACCAATCACGGCCCGGCTATCGAAGGCATGCATCTCCGTGCTGCTCCCAACATCTTCAACGCGGCCCCGGCCCATCAACGTCGAGCGCAAGGGCGCAAAAGACTCTCTCTCTCAAAACGTCAATCTGCACCATCCGCCTTGTATCCTCGCAGCACCGCACCCAGCACTTCGAATCGCAGCAGGCAGAGAAGATGACTGGGCACATCACCTTTATGCTCGCACGATCGCCCAGCAAACTCACAACGATCATCAACTGGCAACAGGCGCGGTTTCAAAAGTGTCTGATCATTCTTGGGAATACGGAATTTGCGGAATGCATTCAACCTCGCTCGCTCCTCCGACTGGGCGCCATCACGAACAAGGCTCGTGTTTGGGCCTGAGAATGTAGGATGAGGTACGGCTTGCAGCGCGGCCATCGAAGCCAGAGAGAGATTGAGGAATGTCTTGCTTTGGTGATGTGGGCTGCAGAGATGAATAGCGTCATCAGAACGGCGCAACGAGTGGACGCAGACGCAAGGCATTTGAACCCACCTCTTTGCATATTGTCTTGAGAAATCTGCTCTTACCAGATTTGGTGACCACCAGAGACCTGTGATGTGAGGAGAGCATTCACTCAGCCACGTCTCGCCTCTTCAATCCTCGAAGCTGAATCCAATCTTGCAGAAGAAACTCACAATGATGTCTGATCCGTTACAGAAGCTGGAAGCAGGGGAAGCAAGCCAGACGGCGACACCGCGCATCTCTGCGGATCTACCCAGACGGCCGAGAGGGTTGGAGGTGGACCATTTGGCAAGCAGGTGAGGGTTGGCATCCAAGTATACACTGGTCATGCGGGTGCGGATGTGACCAGGGGAGATGCAGTTGACTCGGATGTTGTGGGGGCCCCACTCAGCGGCCAAGTTACGGCCCATTTGGAGCACGGCAGACTTGGAGGCGTTGTAGGCAACCCAGTGGTGGTCACGGTTGACAATGGAGCCGGACATGGAGGCGATGAGTATGATCGAACCTTGAACCTCCTTTTGCTTGTACATTTGACGGGCTGCTGCACGTGCAGTCAAGAAGACACCAGTAGTGTTGACATCGAAGATCTGTGGCACAAAAAGCAGATGTGAATCAACTCGGAAGTCAATCGTTGCGCTGCACCCTGCTAAACTCACCTTCTTGAAGTCCTCTACTGGGTACACCAGAGCATCGTGAGTGCCCAGAATACCAGCGGCCTGCGATGTATTGCACCAAGACGATCAGCGGTCAGCCAGGCAGTGAAGAGCGAGAACGAATACTCACAGCAACAGCAATGTCCAAGGTGCCTGTGCCAGAGTCGCCAACGATGAATTCCATCACATCGTTGATGTCCTTGTCGTCAGTGACCGAAGCAGAGATGTACCTGCAGAGTGGGGGGGGAATGGCGAAACACGCCAAGTCAGCACGCGCTACGAGAAGCCTGGATGGTCGGTCCAGAGTGACTGCCAGTCAGACTCACTTCAAGTCGCGGTTCATGATACGACAGTGCTCGGCAACAATCTTGAACTCCTCTCCGGGCTGCTCGGGCACGTCGATAGCGTACACGTGCGCACCAGCCTCAACCTGTCAATTCGATCTCATGCATCAGTGTCAAACCGTGTGAGCTCATTGACAATACAGCATGCAGCACTTACGAAAGCCAAAGCCATCTCCAGACCTGCCAGATAAGCGGTCCGCGGGGCGAAGTTTCTGAGTTGTGAGCTAGTGCTCTACTGCAGCTGTTCATCGTCCGCCGCCCGCGCAGCTTTCAAATGGCGCGCTTTGCCGATATGCAGAGCGCACGCGCACGCGCACGCGCACGCCAAGCACCATGACGCCAACTCACCCAAACCACCGTTTCCTCCAGTCACGACTGCAGTCTTGCCTTCAAGGGAGAACTCGGAGAAGATGGTCGTGGTGTGTGTGTGAGGGTCGTTGGGGTTTTGACGCAGACTGTGGGCGGACCCCAATGGATCATGAGTGTGTCAGCAAAATGGGAGGTGCAACCGCTTCAAAAGGAATGACGAGGCTGCGCCTGTATCGCTGCGAGGGCGAGGATTTGCTGCTTTGCGTACGCGTTGCCTCTGCGCGCGCGGTTTCCCCACCTGCCGCAAAGTGGAGGCGGTGGCGGCTGCCGCGCCAGCAGACAGAGGTCCCTGCGCGGAAAAGCTTATGCACGTCCCGCGCAGGAGCTCGAGCTCGAGCGCTTTCGAGGCCGTGGGTGCACTCGCTTCCCTGGGCTGCTCCTGCTTTGTTCTGGCCTGCCAGCGGTGTCGGCGCTTTGACCACCGGGCGGCAAGACGAGCTGTGCAAGACATTTGCCCCTTCATGGGCCTCTCGCTGTGTGGCAGACAGCATCGCACGGCGCGTAGACCGCCGCAATTGCAGCACGGCCAACAAGGAGCACGCAGAACAGCCTCTCCTCTCCGTTCTGTACTCACACCGCATCGACACCAATGTTCTCGACGGGAGGGGGAGGACCAGGGTTTTGCTGGACTTCGGAGAGACGAGGCTCAGAAGTGGGGAACCAGGTGACAAAGTTGCGAGGAGCCATGGGAGAAGCAAGCCCAGCCTTGGAGGCGGTTGCAAGCTTTGGCAGTGCCGAGGAGGCAGTACCGGTGCGCAGAGCGCCTCGGGTGGCTGGAAGAGCAGAGCGGAGAAAAGACATCTTGAGACTCGAGTGATGGATGGCAAGCGCGGAATCAAGTGTGAATGAAGTGTTGCGTACGCAATGCGGAGAGATGATGTGGTCAACGAGAGGTCCTCTGTGACGTGCGTGCGATGGTGGTGTTGAAGAGGATTGGAACGTACAGTCTAATGGCAGAAAGCAAATGAATCAGGACCAACGCTGCTTCTCGACATGATTCGCTGTCCAGCTGAGGCGCAGTCTGAGTGAGCGAGCAGCATATATGCAGCAGCAGCAATCACCAGCGGCGTGCGGCGCAGTGCGCGCGAGCTGCGTACGTATATGGCAAGCCAGTCCGCTGGCGTCTTCGCTGATGCAGATGCCATGGCCGCTCGGGCCGAGGCCGACTGACGACTGCATGGTTTGTGGCTACGACGTGCCACACTTGGCGCCAATCCATCGTGAATCTTTGCTAGAGCACCGGGCACGTCTGCCTGTCTCAGGTCTCTCCCTGTACGCACAACAACATTCACCATTGGCTCCACACCGCAACGGTGACATTTGTGCATCAACAGTTCCAATCTCAACGCCGAAAAAGTCTCTCCTCTAGCGCCTCTCATCTCGGCTACGCTGCAGAGATGCCAGCTCCTTGGCAGCTCGCTCATGCATGGCGAGACGAACGGTGCGGCTGCGTGCATGGCTGGCTGATGCAGGGCGATGCGGCGCCGCGGCGGCGCGCGGTGCCATGCGCTCATCAGATCAAGATTCAATGTGCTGATGAGTGAGGATTGAATCAGTTGCAAACCACCTCGGTTAATTCGGTCAATCGCGATCGAACGCCAGCAAAGCAAATGCGCCGCCCATTTCAGCTGGAAGAGCAAGTTTGGGCCTTTGGCTGTTCCCCACTCCGCACAGCAGCAGCAGCAGCAGCAGCTTGCATGCCATACCATGCCATGCAGCGCCTCGTCTCGACTTCGTATGCTGGCCGCTGGCTTGCGAGATTTAAGCTACATCGATCCAGGCCGGACCTGCACGCGTGCGAGCACGGTATGCGGAACTGCCTTTCAATAATTCGGAAATGCTATCGCTGCACGGACCACAGTGCGGGAATGCGATTACAGTCGAAAGTCTTCACCAATGAATTCACATTCTTGATTCACGAATTCACTGCACTGCCCAGGTGGCGCGTGCGAGAGCGATAGATCCCGCCTCCGCACGCTCCCGCGCCGCGAATGCCGACGCATCGCTGCCCGGTTTAAATTGTGCCTTGATCGCTGCTGTCATGCAACGATATGCAAGCTGTCCATTCAAATTCACCGATTTGTAAACTCATCGCGCGGGCCAAGGCAGATAGATGAGCTACGCAGCATGCAGCAGGGCACGATGCTCCTCGCTGCTGTGCTCTAACCTTGACCACGCACTACACCACCACCACGGCGAATCGCTCGCGTGCATTTGTGCGCATCATGCCGGCGAGGTTTCGAGCTAAGGAGAGCTGATATCTGAAATGCAAGATGCGCAATTGCTGGCGTATATAGTCGTAGTCTGATAGAAATCGCCGAGTGACGCAGCGAAGAGGTCAATGAACGAACGCACTGATATCCGTCGCGAATCGATCACGATCGATCGAGCTGTGCTTTTCAGCGGCCACACTCACGACTCAGACTGGTGACTCGTGACTCGTGGCTCCGTGATGAAGGAGCATTGACGTTCGCGCTTTGTTTGCGCTTTCAGTGCACCGAATCAAAGCGTCAAAATTGCGATTGTGATTGCATTACGGAATCGCGAAGAAGAGGAGCGAACTTTGACTGCCATGGCATTTCGAGCCAAGCTCCAATGGGATGGGGAGAGGCGCGATGCGATGCCAAAGGCACCCACCCCGTACCGTACAGCTCACGCGACGAGTGGTACCATCCACGATGGAGCACTGACTACTGACCTTTGCTCACTCAAAATTGCTCCGCTTTATCGCTCAGTGTCAAACCACCTTTGGAGTAGTGCGGCCCATGGCGGCGCTCTCTGAAAGAGCCGATCTGTTGCAAGACAGTCGTGAGTATTGAGTCTCGCACGGGAGAAAGTCGCAGCTCACGTGAGCCGCGGCGGCGTCGTCCTCATCGTCCCTCACTCGTGACTTCATCATTCGTGATTTGATATTGATTTGCCGAATCGCATGCACGCACCACGTTCACCGCTGTGATTTCAAGTCTTCTTCATTTCATATCAGGTGGTCTTCTTCGACCAGCATCTGCCCGCTCTCCGCCCTTCGTCCCGCACTTGGCGCCCTCATCTTCGGCACGGCTGTTCGAGCCTGCTCACACGCGCATCAAAGCATCGATGTAGATGCGATCATCACCGTCTGCTCCAAGACGCCGCGGCATTCTCCCCAAATTCAAAGCGCACTCTAGCGGCGCTTGGACCAGCTGAACGCCGTTCTGAACAATTCGAGACTGCTCAAGTTGCTTCTCACATTCGTAGCGCTTTGTCACGTTCAGTAATGTGTTTCTAATCCTCAAAGAGCAACCTCAACAAGCTCTGGCATCGCATCGCAACGCACTGCATATCCAGCCTTCCTTGTTTCGGGCGCTCTCGTGCCGCCGCATACATCCTGAATGTGGCCATCACCGATGCGCGATCGCCTCACACCGACAAATTGCGACGCGAATGTCACTTATCTCTCGAGGATCTCATCAAGGTGATCCGAAAGTAGATTCCACGCTCGATCATGTCCTGGAAAGTGGGCGCGACATCAGCTCTTGGCGACGGGCGCAAACGACCTCGTCAATCGACTAGGCCGCCTCATGAGCCGGAACACATCTCGCACACCGGCTCGTCCTACAGCCTTGATGAAGGCACGAAAGGCGGACGCCTTTCAGGAGCATCCGCCAGTCCTCAGACGGGCGATTCTCTAGATCTACTGCCTTCCGATCATGTGAGTCCACATCAGAGTGCCGATATCACTTCAAGATTGCAGTATCGCAACACTGATACGTTTGATCATGCTCGATAGGAATACGACGCAGACTCGGATGCGGACGGCGAGGATTTCGAAGGGGCGCCTTCCAAAAGGCAAGCTCTACATTCGCGCGGGCTTTTTCTTCGCGATGAACGACCTCCTCGTAAGAGGCCTCACTTGTCCGCTGAAGCAGAGGTGGAATTGGGACGCAACTTGAGCGGCATGTCCTTGTGTCTGAGCCCAAATTTGCAAGTCACAGAGGAGCCCATACCTCTGGCCCCGCCAAGCTCTCCGACAAAAGATCACTCCACCTCAGTGCACTTCAGCTCCAGCTCCCAAGTGGATCTCTATCCCTCGCAGGGCTCCACGATGTATCCATCCAGCAGCGCATCAGCGATGATTGGCGACAGTCATAGCGCCGAACAGACGACGCTTGACGATGTAGCAATGAAGATCAGACGAGGACCCTCCAGCTACGAGGTGGAAAAAGATCGGGTGGTCGTAACCACATTGAGTGACACTTCATCCGATGGGTCAGTCAGCGAATGCGGCGAGAAGATCAGCGCAGAAGCAAGGTCGACAGAATCGCAAGCGGGGGCGCTAGCAGAGGATGGAAGCGTTCGAGTGCATCCAAAGTTGCTGTCCAAGCTGGAGGACTTGCAAGCCGCCTTGGTCAGGGACAGTGCGGCTGCTAGATTGGGGCTGCACGCAAGACAATGGGGGAAGAGACGCGTCTCTCCCTTGGGCGGGAGCGTCACAGGAGCTCCCGGAGCAAGATCACAATCGGTCTCTCCAAGACCTACCTCGCCGACGAATACCGTTCTACCTTCGCGAGAGGAAAGCACAGCTGCTCTGATATTGTGGAAGAGGCCCGAGGACTTGCTCGGGACCCCCACCGCTGGCGGCTCGTCTGCCAAGTCTCACGAAACCTCTGAGAGGCAACAACATCCAGCAGCGTCCTTCTCTTTCGTATCGAAGGCCGCAGCACATCTGCAGCAGGTGGAGCATTCAGAGTTCGATGCCGCGTCGAACAGCGCTGCTCCCAATCCATACCAGCACCTTGGCACTTCACCGCTCCACTGGCCCACTCCAACAAGCTCCACGGAGGCAGCCACTCATCAAAACTCACCCAGATCTACTCTTTCTGCCACATGTTCAACCGAAAAGCTCAGCGATGCCATGGACATCGATTGAAGAGACTCTCATCTTCGTCTTTTCTTCCACCAGTCAAGTCTTGGATTTCTTGGGCCTGTAGTCCGTGTCCGACGCCCAAAGCGTATTCTCCAAAAGTCATCCCGCAATCGACCGAAGCCTGCCAAATTTCCTGTAACATACCTACTAGACGAGCGAATATCCGTCACTTTCCTTCTCTCTTCTCTGTGTGTACGTGCATGTGTGCCTGGCTTGTACTCGTTTGCTCGCTGGCACGCTCGCGGAATCCGCTGCATTCAAGTGGCCACCCACACCAGCAGGCTGAGCTGTGTTTTCCCCGCCTCCTATCGTTCTCGCATGGCGAAACATGGCGGGACAGACCGACGGAGCGCGGGTCAATTCGAGGCAGGTGGGCATGAAGCAAACAACCTTGATTGCGTTTTCTTCTTACGCTTTTCGTCAATCCGGCATCGGGCTCGTGCAAGGGAGCGACCCTGCTTGCTGTAGACTCGACACACATTCACCATACGGCCCGATCGATAGTCGTGAGTTTGTGCGAATTGCGGGACGACTTGCAGGTCAGGGAGTTGGATGAGA